AATGCAACACAATAATTAATACACAAAGACAATGGTAATGTAAGCATCAATAAATAAAATATATAGATATTAATAAAATTTAGGTTAAGCTTCATCATAAATTCCAACACAATAAACTTAACTCATTTTATATATATGATTAAAAAAAAAAGAATATTTATACCAATACATTACAAATTTGACAAAACAATTGAGAAAAATCGAAATTTAAAGATAAAACCATTTTGTAGATCTAGAACTTGATTTCTCCAAATTCTTGACAAAGTCCTTGATGTATCTCATCGTGCTCTTGATTTAATCTCCAAAATCCCAACACAAAATGAGAGGAAAAAGAAATTAAGATGAAAGAACAAAAAAAAGGAAAGAAACCAACAGACGTCCCAGGAGAAAGCAAAAAATAAAGGGGCTATTCTCTTTGTGTTTCAGTTTTGAGTTTTGAATTCATTTTGTGTTTTGAGTGTTTGTTTTGAAATTTGCTGAAAATGCGTTATTTTTATCATTCTGAAAAACTGTTTCTCAAAACATAAAAATGAAAGACGCGTTTATTTTGAAATTTTGAGAAGATTTTTTTTTAATATTTTAATCAAGAAATCTGATTATTCAATAAATTTTAATAGTTTAATATTAATATAGTATTAAATAACATATAAATTTTTAAGTTGGTTAATCTTGAATTTTTTTTTCTAGATATAAAAAACACAACCTAAATTAAATTTGGCAAGTCCTTATTTTTGTCCTTGTACGTAACTTGTGACAAGAATGGATGTACATCAAGTCACAACCAAACATAATCAAGTTGCAAAAAAGGAAAGCATTAATCTCATGTTGACATGGTAATAAATATTTTGAAATCAATCTTATCGAGTTCATGTTAGTTCTCACAATTCTTGTCAAATACAATTTTGATCGTCTAAATATGATGACTATCATCAGTGATAATATATTACATTACTCCTTGATTATATATAAACCAATTACAAATAAAAAGGCAACATATGCATACAGACTTTAGAAAATGCAATGATGCATCAATATCGGTCTATTGCAACATATCTTTTCAAACCAGAGTTCAAGTTTCAATCTCTCACAAAGTAGATTAACAAAAAGTAAAGAACAGTTACACTATAATACAAGGATATATGAGGATCCAAATCTACATCTCTCAACTTAAATCATCTACAATGTCGACTAATTCGAGAAACTGATTGACTCTGCCTCCAAACGCTATTGGCCAGTACATTAACTAAAACCACCTGAAGAAAAGAATCTTAAATAGCAAAATCGAAAACCCAATTCATGAAGGAACAAATTCAAGATTTCCCATTTCAATTTGTGCAAGAACCAAAACATAATATTAGAAAATGAACACGATAAATTCACAGCAACACTTGCCTGATATAATTGGTTTTCTGACTAAAAAATTGATTTCACAAATCTCATGGACTGCTCCAACAAGTTCAGTCGATTCCGAACGAAATTGAGGCTGACCCATGGTAGAACTAGATGCACCTAGTTGAGAGAAATATTGTGGTGGTGCTCTACAATCGAGAGGGTGGCCGGATGTGGAAGTAATTGGGGAAAAATCGTGCCTGCGCTCGCGGTTTTGGATGGGAATTGGGGCTGTTTCCAGCTGTCTGGTGGGCAGGCGATGGTCGGAGGTTGTAGAGGGAGGTGAGGGGGTGCCAGTGGGTGGGGTCCGACGGCTTAAGTGGCGGGTGGTGGAAGTTATTGATGGAAGAAGGCGGCAGATCGGTAGCTCAAGGAAGAATTTTGGGGGAAATGGAGAAGGAGGCGGTTCCGTGTTTTCATATTTTGGAGTGTTTTGGGAAGAAAACACTCAAAACGTTGTTTTAAAGGTTTTGTGTTTTCAGTAGATATATATTTTTTTTTTTTTTGTTTTCAAAAATTCATTATCGAAAACGGGAAAGAGAACGTTTTTTCACTGTTTTGAAAAATCGAAAACAGAAAACGATCCGAAAACAGCAAAGAGAACAGCCCTACGCTGTTTTAATCTCGAAGATTCTAGTCTCAAATGCAAGCGCCTCAGCCCTACGCCTAATGGGTTCACTCATAAGCCGTCCGACAGCAAGCACCTCAGAAGCAAATAATGCAGTGGGACTAGAGGGATCAGATATTTTTTAGCAGGCCACCAGTTTTGGCAAATTTTAGCATTATTCCTCCTGACTTTGGCAAGAGAAACGATCAGGTTTCAAAGAAATTCTGGGGCCATACTGCACTCAACAAACTTATTTTCAAACAGAACACAGATGATGACTTGAAAAGCGCGACGAGAAACATAGAAGAGTGGAACGGTGAGGAAAAAGACAACTACAAGCATTTGACAGACAAAATGAGCAGGATTTATACCAGTGCACCTCGAAAATTCACGGTCATTGATTGGGTAAGCAAATTTTAACCTATTTTCTTTTAATTCTCACTCTGCTGACTTACTGTCTTATTCTTTTCCTATCTTGGGGCATCGCATTTTGCCCCTTTTTATTGATTTACCGTCTGAACCCCAAAAAGGAAGATGGGTAACATGGAGATTGGACATCCTGCCCTCCTGTATTTGAAGCGAAGCCATCTGTCCATATAAATAGCATATAAAAACGATCAACATTATAGCTACGTGTAACAATATAGAGAACCATTTTCTATCTTTAACATCGTGTCCCCTTTGAAAGAACATGGTAGAAGAAACTCAGTGGTAATGAGAAGAGATGGGTTCGATGAACTTTACATGTTCAGTCCTGGATCAAGACACAAATGGTACAGCAAATATTCTTATCTATGCCTAGGCCAAGCCGCCCTGCTACAACCCATAAGCTTAAACTCGCAAAGTGAATGTAGAGGAGGACATATTCACAACCCCAATTTCTGAAATTCAAACGGAGAATCTTCTGCATGGCCAAATACTTTTTGAACAGAGACAGCAAATTCTTTCAAACTGTGCAGATGTAACATGTTTTCTCTCATTTAAGTTCCCACCCACTTATTCTAAAGACCTTGAAATATTAAATTCTGCACAAATTTTCATATGATATTCAACTGTAGGATTAAATCTAATAATCACCAAGACAGTGCTCGACATTAATTCACAACTGGAGTTCTAAGACGACAACTTAGAGGCAAAAGCTCCCGACTTGGTGGCCCTTGATCAGTGTAGGATTTTGTTGTCATTAAAGTTGATTCTAAATCCATCACACCCAGCAAGATAGCCTCCATTTAGATTGTTTTGATGCAAAAATGTTTCCAATCATTCAGTCAGTTCTACATTCTGAGTCTTCATTAATAAAACAGGTGTATGTCAAGAAAACAAGTATCCACCTTGGAACAAACAATAAAAAACAATTTTAGATAAGCTAGACAGGTTAGGTGGGAACAAGAACATAGCTATCGTTCTGATTATCAAACCCCAGCAAAAATAAAAATATTACAAATAGGACTAAAAGAAGACATCCCACTATTTCGCAACCGAGTTTTCTGTGACCTTTTTGAATATTGGCACCCTGAGATTCAGTTTGATTTCCACAAACTACCTCTGGGGACACTGGTGAATCCGTATCAGGAAGCACGTCTCCTGATGAGGATACTGATTCTGATTTACCATGAATCTGTTCCCCTCCGGAAGAGAAGTTTTCACCTCTTTCGATGTTACAGTTATCAAATTTACTTGAGAATGGACTTTCGAACCTTCTAGTTTGTCTCTCAGAGAAGTCTGAGATCATACCATTTGGATCCTGAAGTGAACGAATGAGCTTTCTTGGAGTAGTGAAGATCTTTACACCCTCGATATTAGTGTGAGACCGTGTCTTCTGAAACACGAAACGAAGTGATATATGCATTATAAGGAGGAAATTAGTCAGACGATTAGAAATTCTAAACTTTCCATCTAAAAATCTAATTCTAAATGCTAGAGAATATGCATTCAAGCAAATTTTCATGTTTGCTAAATAAAATTTATAACTTCTGGAAGGTAGATGCAGGCCATACTGTTCAAAATTCAAACAAATGGTGCACTGGAGCCTTAAATAAATTTTCTTTGAATTTTAGCTAAATTTGCTTTCATACACTATGCTTTCTCTCTTTCTCACATGTTATAGCAAATTATGGCTCTCCATAAAATCTAATTCAAACAAGTATTAATAGCTATTGAAAGTCAAAACTCACATGAGGACTGGGATTAGAGCTTCTGACAATTCCATTTTCCACACTTCCTTGCATGAAACCTGCAAAATTTTGAGAAAAATCTCCACACTCATCAGAAAATTCACCGTGCCCAGAGATTATGATGTGACTTCCTGGAGTCATTTCTGAAAACATTCCATCTTTCAGAGATACATCTAAGCCGCCATTCTCATGCCTTTGCCAAAGTTTACGGTTCACACTCCTACGATCATAGGACCCGAGTTGAGGGACCTGATTCATTGAAATGGGTGATTGCATAAAATAATCATATCCAAAAGCAGAATCAACAGTCTGTGACTCAGGTGATCCAGTGAGAGGCGATTGTTCTCCAGAACCACCCACATTCCTCCTGATGTTCTCTCTCCTTCCAAAGTTTGAGCCAGTGATTGAACCCACATCCCTCTCAAGTTTTGAACCTTTCTCAACACATATTCTCTTTGCAGTTTGCAGTGCTTCAAAAGCAGCCCTAGTTATAAAGGGCATTCGATCAGACTGGCACTTCTCCATCTCCTTAATTATCAAATCCAATTCAGAGAATATACTCTTGGCGTCCAAACATCTCATCAGATAACTCACCATATGAATGGCTGAGAACTGTTTTTGAGTATTTGCCTCCATAAAACCAGAATTAAGGATTTGCAATCCAGACATGATCAACAGTCTTGAATAAGCTTCAACAGTCAAGCTATTGTGTTTAGCCAAAGCCATAACTAAGGCCATATGTGAATTGGTCTGTGTATGTTTCTCCAAAGCCCCAGTAACTCTCTGACAGACCTCATTCACCATCTCATTTGAAGCAAATCGCCAATTATCAGATTCCACAAGTGCCTGTAAGCAGAGAGCAGCTCCAGCAGATAGATTCTCTTGGCTACCCAAAAGAGAATTAGATAGGGGTTTACAGAGGGAGTGGATAATATATCTCTTCTTGTCATTTGCTGTTGTTGGGTCCATTGCATACCTTGCAATAGCTGGAACAACCTTTGAGCAAGCCTGGTGAAGAGCAAAAGATCCTGCACTCGAGGACAGGGTCTTGATAATGGTAGTCATGATATTATCTATTTGAGGGACTATATTGAGCCCATGGACACGAGCAAGAACTTCATAAAGTGAAATTGTATACTCGCCCGAAGATGCCCCATTTTCTTTGGTTTCAGAAACCTGAGCAAGAAACAGAGGTATTGCTTTGGAATCCAAGTCTTTCACAAATGATTTCAACGTTTTCATAGCTGACCTTCTACTGTCAGCATCCTTGTCGAGATTCTCCAACTCCCTTCGAAGTATTGGGCTTAGGCTTAGCCTCCTTCCCATTATCTGTAATTTCAATTTATGTGAAAACCAGTCAATAAACTGAAATCAGCATCCCAAACTACCAAAGATTATATTTTATTAATCACGCCCAATATTTTGGTCAAAATTTCCATAACTTGGGGATGTGGATTTGAAAACCTTAAAGAAACCATATTATTGGAATGGGAACAAGGAAAAATACCAACTTCAATTTACCTCCAGTAGAAGAATTAGGACGTGCATTCAACAATAGGCAAAAAATTAGAAAAATTGTAAATTAACAAGTCATAAACTCGGCAACAATGGTCTCTTTTCAAGATCCAAGAAATGAGGCCTTAGATGGTTAAAGATAAGAAAAGTCTCGAAACTACACTAAAACTGAAAAACGGAATATGAGAAGCATTTTTGTTTTGCTAAAAATATTACCTTTATTCCAAGAATCAGCCTTCGTCTAACCTCATTATTTGTATCTCCCTTGGAATAGAGAAAATATGGATCTTGTGGTGTGAGAATATGGGAGTATTTAGAATGGGGGAAATGAATCTAATCAAATAATATGGCAACAATGAGCTTTTGCATTGTGCAACTTTAAATACTGAAACTGGTGGAGAGAATTGGGCAGTAGTGTGCTGGGATATAAGATTTCCGCGTATTTGGTGCACTGTCTGACAGTTTTCCTTTTGAAAATTTGATTTGAAGGGTAAATTCCATTTCGAATCTTTTTCTTTATTTCCCCCGCTATCCTCATTTTGTCCATCCTTCTTGCAATTAGTATATTTTATTTTATTTTTTCTATATATTTGATTGAAGGATTGTTTAATCCCCATTTTTTTCAAAATATACTTTTCTTTCTTCTTTTCAACTATACATTTTTTAATAAAATAATATTACATGCAACAAAAAAAAACTTCCTTCATTTTTAATTATATATTCTCCATCAATCTACTATTTCAAAATGTATTCTACACTAAAAAATGAGGCTTAAACAAGCATTGAATTCAGTTTTTAGCAAAAGTTGATAACTTCAAATGGTCAAACTTCAATTTTAACGTTAAATTTCATTAATTTTTTTTATCAAGATTTGTTAACACTTTTATTAAAAATTGTTGACCTTGGTTTTTGCATGGGTAACATAACCAACAGATCCCGACTCTATTCACTTCCATGAGACAAGCTCCTACACACTTGGATAAATCTTTAGTAGCTCGTGGTCTTCTTCGATGGGAGAAACATTCGCAAGTATTTCGACGATCAAGTATATCAAATGTAGTAGTATATTTGGGTGTGTAATGGTCTAAAGATGTGAGTCACGTTAGTGTACGGGCACTGAAGATTTACAAGATGATAGAAACGAAAAAAAAACCTTACTTTGAGTATGTAAAATTGCATTACATTTAAATGATACTAAGCTCCAGTTTGATCTCCACTATAAATAGATTTTGGGAAATATATCTTTTGGAATAATGATTTTTTGGGGAATGTGTGGTTAAAAAAAATAAGGAAATGTTTTAAATTTATACGTGTATTATTTTATTGGTGAATGTGTGGTTGAAAATAAGAAAAATTTATTTTTTATAAAATGGAGACCAAACGGGGCTAAGTGTGAGATTTAATAATAAAAGATGAGGAGTTATCACCGTTGAATCAAGAGACATATGGCCTCATCCTGATGGTGATGGCCAAAGTGTTTTCTCTTAAGTGTCACTCCATCAATCATAAGCTGATTGACATTTAATATTTTCTAAAAAGTGGCCATCCTAGAGTTAAGGTTTGACATCTAAAATATACATATCGACAATTTGAACTTTTAGGTACCTGTTGTAGAAACGTCACATCAATCAGTCATAAGAGGATCTTGCACAAAAGGTCTCTTGTAAGAAGTAAGGTGGGAGGTACTTTACATTAAAAAAAAAAAAGGTTAATTGCCTCGGATTCCCTTTTTACAGCAGGTGATAACACTTTGCCCAGGCCATGGAGGGTCAATCGTTACATGGAACCTAATGGTACATAATCTCAGCCACCTTACATATGAACTCACCTCTATCAAGTAGGATAATGGTGTGGAGCGTGGAACTAATTGGGATTGTTAGCTAACTGTTTCGTGTTAATGACTTGAAGCCTCATCGGAAGAAGCATAACAATAGTCACTCAAGTCAATGAATGGATATTTATATAATACATTGAGCAAATTGTAGAGTTGCGGGTTGACTAATTGTCGAGGTAACGCTATGGCGGGGAGTTTTTCATCTTTTTTTTACAAGGTGATAGTTGTGCATTTAAGCACAACACAATAGTCCCCCAAGTATGGGCAAAGATATTCATATAATAAGTGAATTTGAAGTGTGAAAGTAATATTTTGATACATTGTAAAGCAGCTATACGAGGTCCTAGCGCAGAGGACAAAGCTCTGAAAGATAGGCAACTTGATGAAGCTTTGGGGCAAAGGCAAGTTCCTAGCATAGAGGATGAGGTTCTAAAAGATAGGCAGCTTGACAAAGCTGTGAGGTAGATAAGATCCTAACATAAAGGACGAGGCTTTACAAGATGGGCAGCTCGATAATCTGTGAGGCAAAGGCATGATCCTAGCATAGAGGACGACCTCTAAAAGTTAAATAGCTTGATGAAGCTGTGGGACAGAGGCAAGGTATGTTGGGAATTTACTTAATCATACACAGCGGAAATAAAACAATTTTCATTTCCCACCAAGGATTTGCAAGGGAATTTGCTTAACATGCACAGCAGAAAATTAATAATTTTTCAATTCTCACCATGGATCTGATTTGTGTTTAGATAGAAACTGTGTTGAGAATAATACCTTTGATGAATTCTGCAAACTCCTTTACTAATTCACGAACTCCAATGATCACGATCTGCAATCCAAGTTGTCCAATTGTCCAGTCTCCAATAGTGATACACACTGAGAACAAGAATGACGGCTAGGGTTTCTTTTCTAGTGCTAGCAAGAATAATGAAAAATTTCATACAATTCACAAACCCTAACAGCTTATTAATATAAGCCCAAATGGGCTGGCCCATCTCTAAACTTATGCCTTGTCTGGGCGCCATTTTTAGAAGGCAGAAATTCATTTTTGGACTGTTGTAACCTGATATTTTTGACCTACTCTTTCACGTGTGGGACCTGCTGACCTTGGGGCAACAGATATATTTTTGTTGTTAAGTCAAAAGGAAGCTGCACCAGACAGGTGCTTAACCCGGTCTGATATTTAATTAATCAAATTAATTAAATCCGGTCCATGAGTTAATTAATCCAATTAATTAATTCGTGCCTATTAATAAGCAATCCAATTAATTAATTATTCAACACTTGTCAAAAAATTAATTGGTAAATCTCATTCATCTGATTCTCTTTTGTGTGTGACCCATTAGGTTCTAGATCACGATATCTAACGACAAAATAAGGAAATGTTTTAAATTTATGCGTGTATTATTTTATTGGTGAATGTGTGGTTGAAAATAAGAAAAATTTATTTTTGATAAAATGGAGACCAAACCGGGCTAAGTGTGAGATTTAATAATAAAAGATGAGGAGTTATCACCATTGAATCAAGAAACATGTGGCCTCATCCTGATGGTGATGGCCAAAGTGTTTTCTCTTTAGTGTCACTCCATCAATCATAAGTTGATTGACATTTAGAATCTGTCTGGGGCTGATTTTTGCCCCCAAATAATTGCTTCTTTGCCCGTTACAGCCAACCTTTTTTGACTTTGTGTGAGATAGGTGGGACTCGCCAGCCTTCCCTAACGGTCAAAAAAACGCTGAGAAGTTGGAGTTTCAGCAGCACCAGACAGGTTCTTAATATTTTCTAAAAAGTGGTCATCCTAGAGTTAAGGTTTGACATCTGAAATATACATATCGACAATTTGAACTTTTAGGTACCTGTTGTAGAAACGTCACATCAATCAGTCTTAAGAGGATCTTGCACAAAAGGTCTCTTGTAAGAAGTAAGGTGGGAGGTACTTTACATAAAAAAAAAAAAAAAAAAGGTTAATTGCCTCGAATTCCCTTTTTACAGCAGGTGATAACACTTTGCCCAGGCCATGGAGGGTCGATCGTTACATGGAACCTCGACACAAATGGTACATAATCTCAGCCACCTTACATATGAACTCACCTCTATCAAGTAGGATAATGATGTGGAGCGTAGAACTAATTGGGATTGTTAGCTAACTGTTTCGTGTTAATGACTTGAAGCCTCATCGAAAGAAGCATAACAATAGTCACTCAAGTCAATGAATGGATATTTATATAATGCATTGAGCAAATTGTAGAGTTGCAGGTTGACTAATTGTCGAGGTAACGCTATGGCGGGGAGTGTTTCATCTTTTTTTGACAAGGTGATAGTTGTGCATTTAAACACAACACAATAGTCCCCCAAGTATGGGGAAAGATATTTATATAATGAGTGAATTTGAAGTGTGGAAGTAATATTTTGATACATTGTAAAGCAGCTATACGAGGTCCTAGCGCAGAGGACAAAGCTCTGAAAGATAGGCAACTTGATGAAGCTTTGGGGCAAAGGCAAGTTCCTAGCATAGAGGATGAGGTTCTAAAAGATAGGCAGCTTGACAAAGCTGTGAGGTAGATAAGATCCTAACATAAAGGACGAGGCTTTACAAGATGGGCAGCTTGATAATCTGTGAGGCAAAGGCATGATCCTAGCATAGAGGACGAGCTCTGAAAGTTAAATAGCATGATGAAGTTGTAGGACAGAGGCAAGGTATGTTGGGAATTTACTTAATCATAAACAGCGGAAATAAAACAATTTTCAATTCCCACCAAGGATTTGCAATGTGTTTAGATAGAAACTGTGATGAGAATTATACCTTTGATGAATTCTGCAAACTCCTTTACTAATTCACGAACTCCAATGATCACGATCTGCAATCCAAGCTATCCAATTGTCCAGTCTCCAATAGTGATACACACAGAGAACAAGAATGACGGTTAGGGTTTCTTTTCTAGTGTTAGCAAGAATAATGAAAAATTTTGTACAATTTATAAACCCTAACAGCTTATTAATATAAGCCCAAATGGGCTAGCCCATCTCTAAACTTAGGCCCTGTCTGGGCGCCATTTTTAGAAGGCAGAAATTCATGTTTGGACCGTTGTAACCTGATATTTTTGACCTACTCTTTCACGTGTGGGACCTGCTGACCTTGGGGCAACGGATATATTTTTGTTGTTAAGTCAAAAGGAAGCTGCACCAGACAGGTGCTTAACCCGATCTGATATTTAATTAATCAAATTAATTAAATCCGGTCCATGAGTTAATTAATCCAATTAATTAATTCGTGCCTATTAATAAGCAATCCAATTAATTAATTATTCAACACTTGTCAATTAATTAATTAGTAAATCTCATTCTTCTGATTCATTATCAATTATATCTTTTATCTCAATGTTAAGTCAATGTAAGTCGAAAACTCCTTTTCGAATTATGAGTTCATCTTGGCCAAAGATTTCATTATCAACTTAACTGGATAAAATGTAAATCACAATCTCTTACTATCTAAGAGTGACGAATTCTCTTTCGATCATTCACAACCTTCATATTATTCTTGACATACCCGAACGATGCTGTATTAGCGACCCTGGACAGAGTAATATCTAACACCACCAAAGTATGACTATCCTCATATAAGGTACTATGATGACCTCAAGTCAAATGACTAATTCCACTACCGAACGTTAGAGATTAACCACTAACACTCAGATAGTTATCCATGTGGAATCTCCCAGCGGTCTCCAATGTTTTGTTCTATAATAAAACATCTACGTGTTCATTCAAGTGTCACCAACTTTAGCTTGTGAGATCAGCTACTTACTTCACAAGTAAGAATGCCACACGCGATGGTCTACCCGTAATAACGATATCGCTATTTCCAAAAAATAATACCATGCTATGCCAACATTGTAAAGTAACTACTCGTTCATCTTACTCTTTCGACGACCAGATCGTGTAAACGAAGTCCGCGTGTTAGCACTAGGCACCTTCACCCTAATGGATCGAGGTCGGGATGGCGGTGGAACATTGACGTGAAGTGGATCTACGGTTGGGGCAACCACATCGAGGACCTCCCAAACGAGCTATCGACGTTACAAGCATCCATGTCGCTAGCCTCGACATGCTGTTCGTCATATGCAGTATTCGGCAAAGATAAATCATCGTAATCATCACGTACAGGCATAGTTTCATCGCCCACATTCCCACAACCAAATCCACAGTATTCATCACTCACTTTCTCTCCCCCAATTTCTGTCACAACATCCTCGAACCTACGTTTCATCATATTTATCTGATCTTTAACATGGTCATTCATAAAACACACATGATCTCCCATATCCTTCTCGATACCATTGAACCTTACGTTCATTTCGTTTCTCAGTTCCCCCAACTTTAGCTTAAGCATATCCATCTGTTCAACGAACAAAGCTTTGATTTCATCCAAAGAAAAATGACTCACTGCTGGCTGATTTCCCATGGTAGAAGATGACGGCAAGTAATGGTCTGGATCATGATGCCCTCCTTCTCTACCTTCATCATCACTGAAATCATACGGTCAAAGTCTACTTGTGGTTGCTCTCTTGGATTTCTTGCCTCGATTGTTCTCATTACTTGGTAGCACATCATCTTCTGGTGGACAATCTTGTATTACAGTTGATTGAAGAACCAAACTGTCCAGAACGGGGTCTGCAACATCTTCAAATGGAACTTACTCGGAAAAGTATGGCTGCAGTTTTTCTTTAGCAGTAGCACGCAACGTTACCCACAAATGTAACTGTGAAGGGAGGAAAAGACCTCAAAATCAATTATAATATAGGTCGAAAGTACTAGTTCAGTTATTTAGGTGAATTGCTCACATTGTCTTGTCGAAGAAATCTGAATATGTTCTTGATTGAGGCTGTCTTGTGCCAGACCATCGCAACATCCTCGGAATGTTATCACCAATCTTACTCTAAAATCGAGCTTCCAACTCTGGGATTGCCTCGTACACCCACAACTGCAACACATTTATAACAGTTGTTACCATACACGGAGAGACAAAAAAATGTGCAATGCATAACACTTAAATAAAATGCGGACACATGTATACCTGTACAGTAAGAGGGAATCCGTACAATGTGTAAGACATCCTGTCACAATTGTTGACTTTTGTCAGGTCTGCCTTTCTCCCCCGTCCACGAATTAGTGATTTGATAAGAAGCTTAAAACATAATGTCCCCCATGGATAGGCAATTAAGAAATCCAAGTCGTCCACAATGGAAAGAGTATTGGCATGTATCCCCATATTCCGGTCTCTACAATTGAATACTCCTTCAATAATTAGTGCCAACCCAAGCTTGTAATGATCATTACGGTTGGGACATTTTAGGAAACCCTTCTCTAGGTCACTACAAGTAATTCGGTCTCTATTGGTAAATAGTTTGTCCCATAGTCGACATTTGTCAATGATTTTTTCGGATGCCGGCCCTTTAGGTAAGTCGTTGCACTTCAAGCCAGTAATTAATGCGAACTCCAGCAGACCGTATCTTGCAAGCCTTTGGTTTACCTTGAACCAAGCCTCGAAGCGTTTTGGACAAATAATAGATCTATTTACCATTTCATGAATTAATTAGGCAGATAGTTTGAGATCGGGTAACTTCGCAACATGGCCTATACAGCTTTCCTCAAGCGTATTCTTTTGTTGTTCGTCAAACTTGTTGGGGACAATTGTTATGTACTTCGCGTGGCTTATTTGTGAAATTTGGCCAAGAACGCGCTCTTCCTCCGGTATTTTATAGCGGTGTGAGGGAGACATCTACAAATAAGTGAAACAAACAAGACGAAGAATATAAGAAAGTACAAATGAATAGTGAGAGAAGACAAATAACTAAAGACAAAATCTGATCTTAATTCAACACAAATGAGACGAATATCTTCTGAGAGTGAACAAATAAACACCAAATACTTCTTTGTACAAATGAGAAGACATGTGAAGAGCCAATAAAGAAATCATCAGGCTATGTCATTGGGAAAATTACGCTTGTTTGATATAAAGCAATGGTTATTTTGCACTATTTCGAGTGCTTAGTATGCTTTACAAAGAATTTTAGTAGGAAACTAAACAAATTATAATCATAATTTCGTACTTATATGCTCAAGTCTCTAACTAATCATAATTTCAATAAAGAAAATTTCCTCCACCAAAAACAAAAACAGAAATAATACTTCTTGAATTTACAAATGCTATTTGATTGCAATGTCAGTACTAATTAATATCTAGAAATAGTTTTTCAAAAATTACAACAACAAATTGACACTCATTAATTAATCGTTCAAATACAGATGAAAAAAATGTAAAATTCACATGTAATACATCAAAACAACCTATTTTCCTCAATTGTAGTCTCCATTTACAAAAAAAGAAAACTAACAAAACGCATAAATATAATGAAAATTAGATTTTGAACAATCTGTAATTGATACAATGTGATAAGGCATCATGAAACAAGAGTTAAGAACATGGGTGAAACAAAGCTACCTTTATTCTCAAGGTAAAATACCTTCAAAAGAATCCAGTTGACGTTAAGACAAAATAGCAGACACTCAATTCTATAAAGTTAAGCCTTATGTTTTTTTACATGAACTAAGATAGTTTCAGGTCAAAAATAGAAAAAGTGACGGGGAAAGGAAAGCAAACTATGATTTTTATTTTACTGGCTGTATCAACTGCAAGTTCTATTGATCAGCAGCATTAGTAGAGCAGGAATTCTTCTGTCAAATTAATAGCCGTTGCTTTAACCTATTTATACAACGAGTGTGGATTTATATTTTCAAATAAATTACTGAACTAATTATAGCATATTAGAAAACATTCTCATGAACAAAAGGAGATAGAATTTCAATCCCAACAACCCAATTCGTGTCACAATTCCACATTCAAAAATCATAACAATATAGGAATAAGAAATTAAATTCACCTCATAAAAATCCACCCACATTCAACAGCAACACTTCGGATCAAATCTAATGCACTGACATCCGCAGCGAAAATTAAGCCATGCTCCAAGTCAACGAAATTCAAAACCTCCTCCAAATCCAATGACCCTCCAAAACCTACACAAATATTTCAACAATAAAAACAACAGAAATCCGAACCCAATAGGTATAGATAAAACGTTAATTCATCGCACTACACGAATTATGAAATCACAAAAGGATTTTTATGTACTGTATATATAGTAGTGTTGCAAGAATATACTCATTGTCCTTCAAAACCTACCTTAAAGACCATTCAGACCTATAATGTCAAAGAATATACTCATTGTCCTTCAAATACGCAGGCAATGAATTGAAAGATAAAAAAATGGAACAAAAATCACATATTAAAGATTTTAGAAGGCGTGGAGAATTCTCAGAAGGCAGGATGAGATTAAAAAATCTTCATTTACAGTACCATTCAATTTTTTATTTTTATTTTTATATGATTTAAATCTCGAGGAAACTCAGTTCATCTCTTAAGGGTGCAGTCGAAAAGGGATGATCTGCAAACTTGGTATTCCACCGGAGACCAGCAGCTGATCTGTCCTACGTCCTTTCTTACAAAGCCATAAAAGCTTAGAAGATCGGTAACACCTCTATTTTAGTAAAAGAAAATCATGAAACAGCACAGTGAACATCAAGATATAAAAATTTCAAGTATCCAATCAAAGTATATTAATCATCGTTGCATAATGGATAGACCACTTCAACATCTTTTGATAATAAACAATGAATTGAAAGAGAAGAAAAGGCTTTGGTTTCTCCTTTTGATGAGTTCAGTAAGAATTTTTTTTCCTGTTGATGGGCCGGGTCATATGGTTATGACGATGGAATTTGAAATTTCATTGAGGGCATTTTGGTCTCTATTTAAGTAAAATTGACATGTAAAAGATTTTGAACATTTTTGCAAATGACTATGAAAAAGTGGACATTTTTTTTTTTGTAAATTTCCACTATATTCAATCCCTTCCTCAATTTATAAAAGTATGTCCGATTGCGAGTATGAAATTTATATAGAAAGAAAATAAATTATAGACAATTGAATTACCTATAGCTTATTTGTATGAAAATGATTAATTAAATGTGTTTGATTGATTTAATTTTCAACCAAAAAAATATTATGCCTGTCCATTTTTTATTAATAAATAAATGAAAGATAGGGGATAGATGAGAGAGAGAGAAAGATATAGTGAATTAGCTGTAAAATAAAAATCATATTTTTCTGAAGAAAATATCTTCCTTGTTTTCAAAATAAGGAAAACATGATTAAGTGACCAAAAATAGAAAAATATTTTTCGTAGAGAAAATTGTTAATGAAACAGTATAAAAGTAGAAAATTAAGTAAAAAAAATACATTTGTTATGAAAGATAGTGATAATCAAACGCACGATAATTTTTTTTTTTTTAATGGATCATTTGATCCGAAAACTGAAACTTGTGGATTTCAACTAGTTGTTTTGTCATGCGACGTGTCCTGATATTGAACGCTCACGTGCAATTCTTTCCACCATATATTTAACAAAACTCATTTTATCATTATCCGGATCTCAATTATATTAGTAACATATCCAATTTTTTCTTTCTTGTTGTGCTGGCACATCACTATTGAATAAATATCAGTTACAGCCCCACGATCAGAGGCACGATCTAGAATATCCATATCCAGATTATGAAGATTGTATTGTTCTTGACCTTCTTCTGTTTAACTTTTGCTTTGCAATTACCTTTATTCTTTAAGCAGAGCCCTAATCTTTAATTCCAATTCTCTTTCCTCTTTCTACTACTCCATCCACCTCAATTTTTCCAGAGTCCATACCTTTTCTTTGTTCTTTTAATTTCTAATTTCGTTTTCCGATTGATAATAATATTGATTTTCTGGAATTGGAACTCGGAAGGTGAAATAGGAAAAGAAA